AGTTAGATGAGACTATTTAGGCAGAGACACATTTACGTATATGTATTTACACTTGTGTAGAATGACTAGTTGGCCTTACTTCTATTTACACTTTTATGTATCTATTCAGACTATGCCTGTTTAGACTTTATATATTTAGATCATATATTAACACTTATTGCACAGAAAATACATTTAGCCTAGAGTGTTATTTGGACTTAGATATTTACACTTACATCTATTTACACATTGGTCACTTCCAGATATCTATTTGGTATCTATTTACACTTATGTATAATCTCTATTTAGGCTACATATATCATCTCCTTTGACTATAACACATATAACAAGAGTAACACATATATAACAAGTATAACACATATAACAAGAGTAGATGGCTCTAGCTATTCAGGCTTTTTTCTTTTTTAAATTCCTTCATATATAACTCTAAGACGCTTTTATGTACTTTTTTTAGTTTCATAAAACTTTTTTTAGTTTTAAATCCTTTTTAAAATTTGTAGTTGAATATTATTTTCAATCTATATAACAATGAGATATTTCTCTTTATTTCAACCCTCTCAACACTCTGAACAGTTTAATAGTTTTTATTCCCTCTCCATGAATTTTCATGTGTTTTTGGGCTGTGACACTTTTTGGGGTGGGAGGCCCCCATGGACTCCCTCATCTTCCCCACACCTGCTCCTCCACTGCACAACTGTCCACCCCCCCTGCTCCTCCACTGCACCACTGCCCATCCCTCACTCTGACATTTGGTTGTCTCAACAGACATCACCTCACTCCAATCTCCCAAAGAGGCACAAGACAAGGGAAAGAGCTCCCACGACCGGCAGCTCATTAAATTAACAATGCCTAAAACAGACACACTCCCCCTCTCCAGAAAAAATGGATATCGCCCCCAACAGCTCCAGTCCTTGCACTGCTGTTGCACACCACAGTTGCTTCGTCAATAAAACTGCAACTGAAGTGTAAAACTTTAAAGAGTAAAATAAAGAACAAATCTCAGTAACTCACTTTATACTGAAGAGGGGTGTGTGTGGTTATACACACCCAGGAAAGATACTCCCATGACATAAGTGTTTGATTTTCCTTTTCCATCTCCAAAACACATGATTTTACCTTGACTAGGGGTTTTTGTGTTCCACACTTAGGAACAACTTCTGGCCAGAGCTGCACTGCTCAAGAGAGATCCTGCTGGGCCACTGGGAGTGAGATAATCAACAAGGAGCAGCAATGCCATCAACTTCTGGAAAATGTGCTGCACTGGGGCTTCTATCCAGCCAAAGTTACACACTGGAGTGTCAGTATCACATCCGTCACCACAACAACCCTGGCCTCAAAAGCTCCACGGCCTCCTGCTCCCCTGCCCTGCACCCATTCCAGCACAGGACGCTGCAGCCGTCATCGCCTGTGGCACCAAAGGTACCAAAAGACACAAAACTACCACTGTGCTTGCGAGGAATCAGCGGTCCTCAGCTCCTCTTTGCTATGGCCCAGCTCACCTCAAATGCTCCTCCAATTCCAAAGGCTGCCTGCACAGCACCTGCAAAGCCAAAGGGAACTGCTTAACACAGCTGCCACATGTTTCTCCGCTCTTAAGACACTGACACAGCCAACAACCACATTACCTTCTTGGAACCCCTGATTAGTGTGTGGCTTCATCCCTTCTTAACACGGGAGTCGGAATCTTCCGGAATACGGTTCTGTGCGTGCCAATGGAGCTATGTGATCTCCTCTTGTGTCCTGAGAGCCATTCCATACTGACCAGAAGCACCAAGAAATTTGCTTACTGGGGAGGAATGAAACATTTCCAGCAAACGCTCCTGCTCCACAGAAAAACCTCTGAGGGTCTCAGGCCCAGGACAGGTGCTGTGTCAGTGTTTGGGGACTGGGACCAGCCTGCCCTGGCTGCAGCAAACCCTGCAGAGGGGTGGGCTGGGAGGGAGAAGCCCAACCTGTGGTTATGTGGCCTCAATGGCCAACAGGGATCGAACCTCTGGGTTGCTTTCCATAGTCAGCAGCTTGGAGGAGCTTTGCCCGGGGCAGCAGGGAAAGAGGAAAGAAGGTGCAGGTAGAGTCGTTGGCAAAGATTGTGAGTGGGGAGCTCCAAGGAAGCGTTTGAGGCAGCACGTGGAGCCAGCGCGGGGGCCCTCGTGAGGTGCCCACAGGCTGTTCATGGGGGAATACGTGCACAGAGGAGGCCCTGGGGGCCCTTCTGCCACCAGAGGCAGCTGCCTGAAAACACGGGCACAGGGGAGCTCTCGAGGCTCCCTGGGAATGCCGGCAGGTTTGTTTTGTTACTGCCTTTGCACCAGGGAGGTCGGGACGCGTTCTGATCCGAGGGCAGCACAAAGCTGGAGCCTGTCTGAGGCGGGTGAATCAAGCAGAGCGACCCCAGCGCAGGGAGGGGCAGTCTGGGGGTCCGTGCGTCCCATCCTTGGGGAACTTCCCCCCGATCCTCCCCCGCCCCGGTCCCGCCCTCCGCCACCAGGGGGCAGCACAGGGCTCTCGTTCTGCGCAGGCGCGGAGTTCCCGCTGGAGGGCGGGGCCGTACTCCATTTCCCGGCGGGCATGGGAGGCCGCGGGGCGCTGTTCAGTGTGTCACTTCCGCTGCGTCTGGGCTGACCTGGCTCTGTGGCGGCGGCGGAGACAGACGGTGAGGGCGGAGCGGCCGCCGGGGCCGATCGGGGCCGTGTCCTCGGCGGTCGGGGCGGACGGGGAAGCGGTGGGGAGGGTCTGTGGGGGAGGCTCGGCCGTGGGCTCTGAGGGGCCGGGAGGGACCGACCAGGCTCTGTCGCTGGAGAGGGTCGGTGTCTCCCGCAGGCAGCGGTGGGTGAACCCGGACTGAGCCCCTGTGCTGCGCGGATGGGCAGGAGCAGGCCACCCGGGCTGGATACGCTGGTATGCGGCCGGAGCAGGGCAGGACTGGGGGGAAGGAAGGGGCCTCTGGCACAGGCAGCGGGCCGGGCTGCAGCGCTGCAGGGGGGTCCGTGACAAACCCAGGAGGGTCAGTGAGGCCAAGGGCAGGTGCTGAACGTGAGCCAGGGCAACTCCAAGCACAAACACGGGCTGAGGGAGAATGGATGGAGAACAGCCCAGAAGAAAAGGACTTGGGGGCGTGGGTTGCCAAGAAGCTCAACGTGACCCAGCCACGTGCACTGGGAGCCCAGAAAGCCAACGCTGTTCTGGGCTCATCCCCACAGTGTGGGCAGCACGTGAGGTGGGAAATTCTGCCCCTCTGCTCTGCTGAGGTGAGACCCACCCCCCCGCAGTGGTGCCTCCAGCCCTGGGGCCTGCAGCACAGGAAGGATGTGGAGCTGCTGGAGCAGGTCCAGAGGAGGCCACGGAGATGGTCTGAGGGCTGGAGCCCCTCTGCTCTGGACACTGGCTGGGAGAGCTGGGGATGTTCAGCCTGGAGAAGAGAAGGCTCCAGGGAAACCTTAAAGCCCTTCCAGTGTCTAAAGGAGCTCCAGGAGAGATGGAGAGGGACTTTGGACAAGGGCCTGGAGTGATTGGACAAGAATTCCCACTACCAGACGGCAGGGTTAGATGGGATACTGGGTTGAAATTCTTCCCTGTGAGGGGGGTGAGGCCCTGGCACAGGCTGCTTGGAGAAGCTGTGGCTCCCCCATCCCTGGAAGTGTTCAAGGCCAGGTTGGACAAGGCTTGGAGCAACCTGGTCTAGTGGAAGGTGTCTCTGCCCATGGCAGATGGGTGGAACTGGATGGGCTTCACGATCCCATCCAAGCCTAACCACTCTGTGATTGTGGAGAGTGGAGCCCCTGACATTGGAGCAGTTTTTGCATTTCTCAGCCCCACCAAGTGTCCTCGTGGGTCCTGTTTATAATGTCCCTATGGTCTCCTTGTCCTCTCAACAGGGCAGCTCCTGGGGCAGAGTTTGGGTGAATTGGGACACCTGGCTTGGAGAGGGACTTTTGGGGATCATGAGGCTGCTGGAGGGAGTTGACGAGGCTGTTGGAGGGAGTTGGTGTTTCCTCAGTGGCTGGAAATAGGAAATAAGAACAAATGTTGGAAGTGAGGAGCTGGTGCTTTCTGTGAAGAACTAACTCTGTTGTGTAAGACGGTGCTGGAAAGCAGCCAGGCTTCACAAGGGCAATTAACTGTTAATTGCTAAAACTGGTGAAACTGTTAATTTCCAGAGCTTTCAAAGTTACTGGAAGAGGCTTTGTGATCCAAGAGCTTTGCTCATTACTGAGATGTGCAGAGCCCAGAGTTGGATGCGACGATCCTTGTGGGTCCCTCTCAACTCAGGATGTTCGATGATTCTGTAAAGGGCCGTGATACTGGCTGGGGCTTTGAAAGGGGAGGAAACTGTTGACTTTTCTTCCATGGTTGCAGATCTGGGACATGGCTATGCCAATTCTTACAGCCTCCCAGAAGAGAGTTCAGAGATTTCAAACAATCAGTGACATTCCACTGACCTGTGTTTCCAGATGAAGCTCCTGCTCCTCACCCTGTGTGCCCTGGTGTCTGTGTCCCGCTGCGAGGATGGTGCCAGGCTCCTGGCCTCCAAATCTCTGTTAAACAGATACGCGGTGGAGGGCAAGGACTTGACTTTGCAGTACAACATCTACAATGTTGGCTCAAGGTAAGCCCTGTCCAGGCTTCAGTACGAACCAGGAGCAAACATTCTGTGTGTGGCTACAGGCAGGAGGTGATTTCTGAGCTCCATGATGTGCTGGTGCCTTTGCTCCCCTGAACTCTGAGCTTTCCAGCAGTGCCTGAAGGGTTGACCCTGCAATTTGCCTTTCCCTTCCTCTTCCCTTGTCCCTGCTTTCCACTCGTGGCTGCTCAAGCTGTCAGTCCAGCATGGACATGTAGCTCCTGTGGTGTCCTGGGACACTCTGCTCCCCATGCACACAGCTCTCTTGACTAGCTTTGTGAGCTCTTTTGCACTTTTTTTTTTTTTTTTAAATAAAAATTCCTTTTTCCTGTCAGGACTTCTCTAAAGACCTGACAAAGGTAAAACAGAACTTCCACAATGCTGGTAAAAAGCTTTATTCTCAGAATGAAAAGCTGATTGGACAAAATGCAGGAGAGTATTAAAGTGTTTGTTTTTTGGGGGGTTTTTTTAGATTTTTTTAAAGGCAGAGTCATGTATGCTGAGTGCAGTACTGCTGAGAGGAGTATTTATGGTGTTGCAATATTGGACTCTTACAATATTAATGAGATACTGTAACTTTATAGGTGGGATTTGTTTATTATTTAGGCCAAAGGGTGTGTCTGTGGGATGGTATCTGCCAAATTCTATTGTGGAAAAACCAGTGTATTTCCTGTCTTTGTGGCTGTTTCTCTCAGCTGTGCCTTCTTCTCTCTGCAGTCTCTCCATAAGACACCTCAGCTCTCCTCGCCATGTTGTGTTGGTGACTTTTCCTCTTTCACAAATCAGTTCTTCCATTGGGTCAGGAGGGAACTGTCAGCCCACTTTGCTGCAGATCCCATGAGCAGATGCCAAGTCTTAAGATTCCATTCTCATCCCTGCCTTTGTTCTGTTCAGTGCTGCCCTGGATGTGGAACTGTCGGATGATTCCTTCCCCCCAGAGGATTTTGGCATCGTCTCTGGCATGCTCAATGTCAAGTGGGACAGGATCGCTCCGTATCTTTTAATGGTTTGAAATTTTCTTCCCCCTGAGCATCCTGCAGCTTCATCCTGTCTTCATGCCCTGTCCCAGAAATTCCCACATGCCAGAGCCTGGACAGGGTGCCCAATCCGAATGCCCGCTCTTCTGGATGGTGCTTTGTAAAAGCACCTGCTCCTTGCAGACAGGACCAGGTCCTTAAGTTCCTCTGCCTGGGGAGGAGCAGCTGGGTCAGCCTCGGGGGGAGGTGGGTCGGGCTGTCTGTGACCATAAGCATTCGGATCTGTCAGCAGCACTGACTTTTCCACCTATGTTTTCTTCCTGTAATGAAATCCAACCATTTTCCTTAACGCCCGGCTCCCAGAGCGAGTAACGTGTCCCACACCGTGGTTCTGCGGCCTCTCAAAGCTGGTTACTTCAACTTCACCTCTGCCACCATCACGTACCTGGCACAGGAGGGAGGACAGGTCGTGGTAAGTGGACGATTTAGAGGAGCCCTGCAGATACCCCTGACAGTGCTCTTGCAGCAGCCTGGTCGGGGTGATGTCCCTGAGCTCTCACCCTGCCCAGCTCTGTCCCAAGAAGGAAAGTGGTAAAGCTTGTCTTTTCCCTGCCTCTTCCAGGTTGGTTTCACTAGTGCTCCCGGGCAAGGAGGAATCCTGGCTCAGCGTGACTTCGACAGGAGGTTCTCCCCTCACTTTGTAAGTACCTTTCAGCTGACAATGGAAATTGCACTGCAGCAGCTGCAGCCCAGCACAGTGGCTTCCTGCTGCACATGGTGTGTGTGGTTTGTCCTGCAGTCACCTGGAGAGCTCCAGTGGTATTGCAGTTAATCCCTGTCAGTTCTCCGTAGGAGTATCACAGCAAGAAGCAGCCAAGCGTTTCCACCCCAGCTCCCTCTGTGGAAGAGCTGCACTGTGGGATTTGAGCCAGAAAATTGGAGAGTAGAATCTTAGAACCTTCTAGGTTGGAAGGGACCTACAAGGATCCTGGAGTCCAACTCCTGGCCCTACACAGGACAACCCAACAATCCCACCAAGTGCCTGAGAGCGTTGTCCAAACTCCTTGAGCTCTGTCAGGCTTGGTGCTGTAACCACTTCCCTTGGGAGCCTATTCCAGTGCCTAATCACCCTCTGGGGGAAGAACTTCTTCTAATATCCAGCCTAACCCTCCCCTGACACAGCTCCATGCTGTTCCCTCAGCTCCTGTCACTTGTCACACAGAGCAGAGATTGGTGCTGCCCCTTGTGAGGAAGCTGCAGGCTGTGGCAAGGTCTCTTCTTGGTCTCCTACTCTGGCCTCATTGCTCTAAGACTCCTGGACTTAACTTGTTTTGACTTTTCTCCAACCATTTCTCCCTCTAGTTGGACTGGGCGGCATTTGGTGTGATGACCCTGCCCTCCATCGGGATCCCCCTGCTGCTGTGGTACTCGAGCAAGAGGAAGTATGACACCCCCAAGACCAAAAAGAACTGAGTGGAGAAAAATGCCACCAGCACTCCAGAGCTCGGGAAAGGACAGTCATGACCCCCCCAGAGCAGTGGGTGCTTTTGGGTTGCACTGTCCCCTGCCAGGCATTGCCTGGGCTGTGCTTCAACCCTCTCGGCAAAGGGACTTGATCGCTGTGATTGGGTGTCTTCTGGGTTTTTAAAAAAGAAACAAAGAAAACAGTAAAAAACCCAACTAAAAGTCCCAAAATGCTTTGTCAGCCCCTTTCAAGCAGGAATCCCCCCCTGCTCCTCTGTAGCCGTGGCGATACGAGTGCGTAAGTGCCCAGAGGGTCTGTTTGTGGGGCTCTGCCCCCTGTGCTACCTCCCAGCCCCCATTTGCCCTGCTGCATCTTCTCCAGAGTGTCCTGTCTCGGGGCCCCTCTGTTGCTGCGTGCCCTATGGGAAGGAGCTTGCTCTGGTGCACCACAGACCTGTTTTGATAGAAGATGTCAGAGCTGCTGCTCTACCCGAAGGGGCAGTACTGGAGGACCCTGTCAATGCTGTTCTCTGTCACACCAGCTTGCTCAGGGCCATGGAGGCTCTGTAAAGAGATGTGGGAGGAGAGCAAGGAGGAGGATTTTAAATTCCTCAAGAATGAGGTGCACCGATCCCCACACTGTCCCCTCCTGCACTGGGGATGCTCTGCTTAACTCACCCCGCCCCAGACAGGGTCCAGCCTCTGGGTCCCCAGAGATCAGGACAAGTCCCAACCTCCCTGGTGCAAAGGCAGTAACAAAACAAACCTGCAGGTATTTCCAGGGAGCCTCGAGAGCTCCCCTGTGCCCCTGTTTTCAGGCAGCTGTCTCTGGTGGCAGAAAGGTCCGCGGGCCCGCCTCTGTGCACATATTCCCCCATGAACAGCCCGTGTGCACCTCGAGGGCCGCCTCGCTGGCTCCATGTGCTGCCCCAATGCCCTTTCATCCTAGAGCTCCGAATTCTGAGCCGTTGCCAACAGCTGTCCCTGTGGGCGACACTAAAGGACCGTCTGGGACACAAAATGGCTGCCGGGGGTTTGGGGGGGGGCACCCCCCGGCCGTGAGGGGACACCGGAGCCACGGCTGGGGCCGCCTAAAGACCCGCCGCTCCCCCGGGACCAATCTCTGAGGGGGGAGGGGGACGTCGAGGACTTTGGCTCTCAGAGCGAGCTTGGCCGTTGCATCTCGGCCCCGGCGCCCTTCGGTGTGTAGGAGCTTACTCTGCCCCGCCGCGCCCCGGGTACGCGCATGCGCACTCCACTTCCTTCGTGGCCCCGCCCCGCCCCCGGGTGTCACTCACCAACCGGAGGTCGGTGGGCGTTCCCGAGGTGAGGCGGTGCCGTTCTGATTGGCCTCCGGGCGCGCGCCCGCGTCGCGATTGGCCGGCGAGGGGCGCGGGGCGGTGCGCGCCGTGGCGGCCCCGTGAGGCGGCAGGTCCGGGGCTCCAGAAGGTTCCGCCGCTCTCCAGCCGCCGCGATGATGGGCCCGCGCCCCGTCCTGGTCCTCAGTGAGTGCTGCTTCCCCGGCCAGGCCCCCCTGGCGGGGTCCCAGGGTGGAGGGTGAGGGAAGGGCAGCGCCGCGCCCCCACCCCGCTTTGCTGCTCGGCCTCCCCGCCGCCATGTTGGGTCCCCTCATGGCCGGGCGCTCCCTCACGGAGCGCGGCCCAGGCGGGCCCGCTCTGCTCCCAGGGGTCCGCCGGGCACCGCTGCCGCCACCGGCGCGTCTGAACTGCCTCTGGTAGCCCCCTACCCACAGCTTCGGCCTGGCCGCTCTATGCGCCCTGCGCGGAAGATCTCTGGCCCCCGCTGCTGTCAGGCCTTTCCCGGCAGCTCTCCGGTTCTCTTTCCCGTTTCTTGTCGGGCCTTTTCAGCGAGTTTCTTTGTGCTACCCCGTTTGAATCCCCTGTGAACCCCAGTTCTCAGGCCCCCCAGCATTGGAAGCTCATGCAGCTGCCCGAGCGAGTCCAGAGGAGGCCACGGAGATGTTCCGAGGGCTGGAGCCCCTCTGCTCTGGAGCCAAGTTGGGAGAGCTGGGGGTGTTAACCTGGAGAGGAGAAGGTTCCAGGGAGACTTTAGATCTCCTTCCAGTGCCTAAAGGAGTTCCAGGAGAGCTGGAGAGGGACTTAGGACAAGGGAGAATGGCTTCCCACTGCCAGAGGGCAGAGTTAGATGGGATAGTGAGAAGAAATTCTTCCCTGGGAGGGAAGTGAGTCACTAGCATAGGCATAGGTTGCCCAGAGAAGCTGTGGCTGCCCCCTCCCTGAAAGTGTTCCAAGGCCAGGTTGGACTGGGCTCGGAGCAACCTGGGATAGTGGAAGATGTCCCTGCCCGTGGAAGGGGTTTGGAACTAGATGGTCTTTAAGTCCCTTCCAACTCAAACCATTTTATGATTCTCTCACCACTCTCCAACACAAGGATTTATTTCTGCTTGAGTATCGCATTCCCATCTGCTCCATCTGCTAACCCTAACCCTAACCCTAACCCTAACCCTAACCCTAACCTCCATCTGCTCCATTCCCTATTAGCCTAGGAGGCAGACTGTTGGAGCCCAGGGCCCCTTTTGTTCTGTCTTACACCTCTCCATGTGGATGCACCTACTTCTGAGTAAATCTGTGCATACCTGGGCCAGGCTTGTAGTAGCAGAAGAGCAGCCTTCAGCTCTAGGGCAGAGCCTGTTGACAGCTGGTCCCCAGCTGTGATTGTGAGCCTGTGGTACCCCGGGGGCTGCTCATACTCACGTGCCAAAGGCAACGTCAGTGGATTAACTTCATGTTCACCCAGTTCTTTGAACTGTGCCTAGGCCTCTGTAACTTTTTGCGACTGAACAGTACTGTGCAACAGCACCTCCTCGGCCATGTGGGATCTGGCAGATCCTAGTGAGTCCCTGCAGTTTGATTTTCTGGGGCAATAGGTTTCTGTTTCAGGGTTGCAAAGCTTTGTCTCAGTTAGGATGCTCACAAGGAGTTCTGTTATAATAGGGAGTGTTTTTTGCTGACGCTCTTCTGTCAGTGTGTTTCTCATCATGACTGCCGTATTTATAATGTAAACTATGAATTTAGAACTGGTCACATGTCATATGTGTGTGACTGAGAGGTGTGGCTGCATCCTTACTGCATTGTACTTGATTGTACTTGATTAAATTAATTTTTTCTGTGTGCTTTAGGTCAGAACACAAAACGTGAGTCTGGAAGAAAAGTCCAGACAGGAAACATCACTGCTGCGAAGGTACCAAATTCTCGTATCAGGCTGTTTTGATTATTCTTTTTTTTCTCCGTGTGTGTGTATTTTTATATTTCTGAGGGAAAGCTGGATCTGAAGCATATTTTCTCTAGTCTATATGAACCCAGAATAGAAGAAGCAACATAGAAAATAATTTCCTGTGTTAACAGAAGATATTTTTATACTTTTATATAAAAATTCTGTATAAAAAATAAAACATCTGCACTATTCATGTAAGGGGTGCCCTATAACTGCACATAGAGGGGTTTAACCCACCAAACCTCCTTTCTCTGCAAAGTCTGAAAGCACCTCAGTTTTGACATCTGACTGAGATAATAATACAGTGTAGTACCAGTGCCCTTATAATCCCTCTGTTCTCATTTCCAGACAGTTCTTAAACCTTGTCTGCATCTCAGCCATGGCAGAGTTGTTGGGTCGCTTAAATTTCACAGGGACTGCTGGTTTCAGACCCACTATGCGGTTTTTTTAGACTCTTTGACGCTTACCTGTAGTACTTCATTTCTTTGGTTTCCCCTAGACCATTGCTGACATTATCCGAACATGTTTAGGACCAAGAGCTATGATGAAGGTAAGAACTTGTGCTGTTCTGTGGGGTGTTTCTAGGCAGCTGCATCACCAATGTTGCAGCACAAGTATTGGTTTTCTTGTGGTTGCAGATGCTTTTGGACCCCATGGGTGGCATTGTGATGACCAACGATGGCAATGCTATTCTTAGAGAAGTAAGTTTCTCCTGAAGGATTGTCTTGCTTAACACGTGAGTCGGAATATTCTGGAGTCTTGAGTGCCAATAGAGCTGTATGATCTCATCTGTCCTGAGAGCCAGAAAGGTGCTCACTGGGGAGGAGTGAAACATTTCCAGCAAATGCTCTTGTTCTGCAGAAATGTAGGTTTGATCCTGGGATGGGAAGTTTTCATGGAGTTTTTATAAGACTGATGTAAATGCTTTGGTAACTCTACCTATAATCAGTTGCATCAAGATCTTCTGAGTAGACAGCGATGTTCACAATGCCACGTAATGATACCAAGAAATTATTTTCTCTGTAGTACAAGTGCTGTTGAAAGAACATCCAAAAAACTCTAATGCCTGAAAAATGGTGAGGGACACAACATTGTCAAATACAAAGGCTTGATTTTGGTCAAAAAAAGAAGGAAGAGCTTTGCCGTGGTTGCACAAGAATGCCTTTAAAACTGTATTAAAGCTGTGATATTTGTTCCATTGAGCAACGCAAGATGTTTCTGCTTTAGTATTCTGGAACAAATCCATACCCCTTGCTCCTGCACAGATCCAAGTCCAGCATCCAGCTGCAAAATCAATGATAGAGATCAGCCGCACGCAGGATGAAGAAGTCGGAGACGGGACCACATCTGTCATTATCCTTGGTAAGGAGGCTGACTCAGACAGTTTGTTTAGAGGCTGGAGTTCGCCCTCTTTGCTTACCAGGGCCCATAATCAGTTATTTACCAACCTTAAAATGGATAATTTTTTTTTTTTTTTTACTGTGCAAGAGCATGCTTTGTTCATGAGACCCTTAGGTGATCAGCTCCATGCTTTGGGAAGTTGTGCTTTCCCTGGGATAACCACCACTAAGGGTAAAGAAAGGTATAGGTGATGTTAGAGCTCCTTGCATGGATAGAAGATACATTTTGTCTGGTATGCTGCTCTTCTGTCTTGAGTGGCAATTATCCTCCTAATTTATCTGAGGGATTTTGATTTATTTTTAATTTTTTTTTAGCTGGAGAGATGCTCTCTGTTGCTGAACACTTTCTTGAACAGCAGATGCACCCAACTGTGATCATCTGGGCTTATCGTAAGGCTCTGGATGACATGATCAGTATTCTGAAGAAAATTGGGTAAGTATGGGATGGTGGGAGTTAGAAAGGAGGGATGTGGGCTTTCTGTACTGCTTCAAGCAGCTGCTGCTTTAGGCAGTTATGTTAGAATACAATTAACATAATTGGAGAGAGACTCAAAGGGACAAATAGCTTGGAGTAATACTCAGTTTGCTCTTTGGTTTTTCTTTGTCCCAGCACTCCAGTGGATGTGAACAACAAAGAGATGATGCTTAAAATAATAAAGAGTGCGATAAACACAAAGGCAATAAACCGCTGGTCTGACTTGGCCTGTAGCATCGCTCTTGATGCCGTTAAGACCGTGGAGTTTGAAGAAAATGGCAGAAGGGAAATTGATATTAAAAAATACGCAAAAGTAGAAAAGGTGAGTGTGTCCTGAACTGTTTCTTATCCCTGTGTGCCCCTTTCTTGTTCTGAACTAGCTGACTGTGGGGTGCAGTGGGAAGAATTTTGTGTTACCTCTCTGCAGTCCACAGACATAACCACCCTCAAAGACATTTCAGTCAGTGCTGTTGCCTTCGCTGGTTTGCACTGCAAAGAGGGGCTGTTATTTCAACCCTTTTGGAATATTTGTCAAAAAGATAATTTCAGTTGCATTTGGAAGATGGAAGACGATGCCAGGCAGTAGGATGTGAAAAGTTTCTTAAGCTCTTCCACAGCTTCTCACTTGAAATCTAAGTCAATATGCACTTAAAATTAAACTTTATATCATGACCTGGATGCGCTATGATTATTTGGGAGAGGTTTTCCCTTTTCTGTACATGGGACAGACAGTTTCAGGAGAAACCTTCAGATACACAGGTTTTTATGGACTAAACTGACTCATCTCATTTCCCCCCTTCCTTGTGTCTGTCAGATTCCAGGTGGTTTTAGTGAAGACTCATGTGTTTTGCGTGGAATCATGGTGAATAAAGATGTGACCCATCCCAAAATGCGTCGTCTTATTAAGAATCCACGCATTGTCCTTCTGGATTGTTCTCTAGAGTACAAGAAAGGAGAGAGCCAGGTAATGTGGGTCCTGTTGGAGATGTCCACCACTCTTGATTTAGGACATGTAAAGTGAACAAATGCAGATGGCTTGTTAAAAGCACAAGTGGTGAAAGGCTTTCTG